CGGAGGCCGAGAGGGGGGTGACGCGGTGAGGGGGGGTGCCCGGCCGGGCGGACGAGGAGATGAGGGGGGGCGGCGCCCCCAGCCCGGCGATGGGGGGGGTTTTGCTGAGCAGGGCGCCCTGGTGGACCAGCGAGGGGCTGAGCCGGGGGTAAGGGTGCGGGGCGGCGTTAGGAGGAGGGGGGTGGGGATGGGGAGGTGGGGGGGGCCCAGAAGCTGCCGATGGTGGGTGGTGGTGATGGTGGTGGTGGTGGTGATGGTGGTGGGGTGGGGGAGTGAGCAAACCCAGGAGCTGCGCCCGCTGCTCGTACTCCTGCAGGAGGCCCGGGGGGGCGGCGGCCGTGCCCGCCGGGGCAGACTGCGGTTCCCGCCGGCCCGCTCCCGCCAGCAGGGCCCCAGGCCCATAGTCCCGGAGCGCGGCCCTCTCCCGGTACGGGCGGGACTCCGCCTCGTAGAAGCGGGAGCCCGCTGGGGCCTGGGGCACCACGTCCAGCTCCGGTGGCCGGCAACCCTCCCGCCAGGGGTCGCGGTAAGGCTCCCAGGCGTAAGGGGCCAGGCGCTCGGGCCCGGGGGCGGCTCCGACCCCAAGGAAGGGCCCGTGCAGCACCCTGCTCCGCTCGAGGACCCCTCCAAGCTGCCCGAGGAGGGCCAGGGGCACCGGGTGCAGGGAGCCAGGCACGTGGGAGCGAGGTGGGAGCTGGGTGGATGGCTCAAAGCCCACCGGCTCATGATGGGGAGTCAGCGACTGGTGCTGTTCGGCTTTGACTCTGACCTCGTGCCTCTTGGCCAGTTCCCGCAGGAGGCTGGGCTTGGCCCCCTCCTGAGCCGAGGAAGAGGGGGTGCCGCTGCCGCTGGAGGAAGAGGAGGAGGAGGAGGGGGGGGGGCCCTGCGCCAGGGGATGGCCGAGAGAAAGGCGAAGGGTCCCGGATGGCTGCCACGTCTTCCCCGGGCCTCCTGGCCGTGAGGCGGGGGGTCTCCTCGGAGGGGTCCCGGGCACGCCGCTCCTGCTTGAAGTGATCGCGGGGGGGCTCGGCACGTTCCCGCTCGCGGCTGCCGGCCGTCGTCCTGGGCACAGCTCGGGCAGGCTCGTCGTCCGGCTCCACCTCCCCCACCCTCGCCGCCGCGCCCGCCATCTTCAGGGGGGCAGCCGGAGATAGCCGGGCCGAATGGCGGCCATAAACCGCTTCCCTGCGGAGACAAGACGATGCCTGGGGTTAGCGAGGTCCCGCGGCGATGCCAATGTCCCAAGCCCCACCCTCCCACCCAACTCCGACGGCCCGGCTTCGGAACGAGGTGTCCATCACACAGCCAGAACCTCCCGACAGCAGGTTGCAGCATCAGGGCCTGGCTCCGTGTGGGATTGCTGCCCCTACGTTGGGGAGAGTAGGGGTTTTGGGGGTGGGGGAGAGCGGAGACGGTGGCTAGATTTGAGACCTCCTTACCCACCGACCCCACCACACGCTCACGCCCGGCAGCGGTGAGCTCACACTGTCCCCACCCCCGACTCTCCAATGGCCCCGAGGATAAGGAATCTGCCATGCTGTATAATCCAGGGTGGCCTCACACCTTACCCCAGGCCAGGGGGGGTGGCGGTGACAGCGGCTCCTGGCCCCCTGTTCCTGTCAGCAGGCTCCCAGGCCTGTCCTCCTGGTTTCCATCCAAAGACCAGGGATGTGCGAGTTAGGGTTGGATTGGCCGTGGGAAATTGTCCCGTAGTGCCCAGGGATGTGCGGGTTAGGGTGGGATTGGCCGTGGGAAAT